GTGGGTTATCTCCCTGCTCTCTTGATGGTTTCTTTTGCTTTGCAGAAGCTCGTTAGTTTGATGAGGTCCCACTTGTCTATCTTATTTCTTAAAGTATTGGCCTTTAGGGTTCTGAATAGGAATTGGTTCCCAGTTCCAATTTCCATAAGGGTGTCTCCTGTGTTTTCTAAGATTCTTGTAGTTTGAGGTTTTACGTTTGGGCTTTGATCCATTTAGAGTTAATTTTTGTGTATGGTGATAGGTTGGGGTCCTGTTTCAATCTTCTGTATGTGATTAGCCAGTTTTCCCAGCACCATTTACTGAATAGGATCTCCTCTTCCCAGTGGTTGTTGTTGGAGACTTTGTCAAAGATGAGTTGGTTGAGGCATTGAGGCTTTGCTTCCAGAATCTCTATCCTGTTCCATTGGTCTATGTACCTGTTCTTGTACCAATACCAGGCTGTTTTGATTACTGTAACCTTATAGCAAAGTTTGAAATCTGGAAGTGTGATACTTCCTGCTTTTTTTCTTTTGTTAAGGATTGTTTTTGCTATTCATGGTCGTTTATGTTTCCATATAGATTTCTGTATTGTCATTTCCAGGTCTGAGAAGAATGATGTTGGTAACTTAATGGGTATTGCGTTGAATCTGTAGATTGCCTTTGGTAGGATGGCCATCTTAACAATGTTGATTCTGCCTATCCATGAGCATGGAATATTTTTCCATTTGTTTGTGTCTTCTTGGAGTTCTTTAAGCAGTGTTTTGTAATTTTCATTGTAACGGTCTTTCACTTCTCTGGTTAGGAAGATGCCAAGGTATTTCATTTTTTTATGACTATAGTGAATGGATTTGTGGTTTTTATTTGGGTATCTGCCTGTTTGTTGTTGGTGTATAGGAATGCAACTGTCTTTTGCACATTTATTTTGTACCCTGAGACTTTGCCAAAGTCCTTTATCAGTGCAAGCAGGTTTTTGACAGATTCTCTTGGATTTTCAAGGTATAGAATCATGTCACCAGCAAAGAGGGATAACTTGACTTCCTCTTTTCCTATTTGGATACCCCTGATTTCCTTCTCTTGTGTAATGGCCCAAGCTAGGACTTCCAACACAATATTGAACAAGAGGGGTGAGAGTGGGCAGCCTTGTCTTGTCCCAGTTTTCAGGGGAAATGTTTCTAGTTTCTGTCCATTTAGCAATATGTTAGCTGTGGGTTTGTTGTAGATGGTGCTTACTCTTTTGAGGTATGTTCCTTCTATACCTGAATGTTTGAGAGCTTTATCAAGAAGCGATGCTAGATTTTATCAAAAGCTTTTTCTGCATCTAATGAAATAATCATGTGGTTCTTATTTCTACATCTGTTGATGTATTTAATGACATTTATGGTCTTGCAAATATTGAACCAGCCCTGCATCCTGGGGATGAAGCCTACTTGGTCATGGTGGATGATTTTTGAGATGTGTTTTTGGATCTGATTTGCTAGAATATTGTTGAGGATTTTTGCATCTATCAATATCATAAGGATATTGGCCCGTAGTTCTCTTTCTTTGTTGGATCTTTACCCAGTTCAGGTATCAGTGTGATGTTAGCTTCGTAAAATGATTTGGAGAGAATTCCATCTTTCCCAATTGCCTGGAATACTTTCAGTAGGATTGGTATCAGCTCCTCCTTGTACATGTTGTAGAATTCTGCTGGAAAGTTGTCCAGTCCAGGGTTTTGTGTTTTTTTGGTAGGTAGTTTTCGTATGACAGAGTCTATTTCCTGGGTTGTTATTGGTCTATTTAGTGTCTCAATGTCTTCTTGTTCTAACATGAAAGTCAGAAAAGCCAGAAAAGTCCTCCATCTCATCTAGGTTATCAACTTTGTTTCCATATAGGTGTACGTAGTAATCTCTGATAATACTTTGTATTTCTTCGGGGTCAGTTGTGATTTGATCTTTTGTATTTCTGATTGTGTTTATTTGGGCTTTTTCTCTCTTTTTCTTGGTCATTCTGGCTAGGGGGCCCATCAATCTTGTTAATTCTTTCAAAGAACCAGGTTTTTATTTTGTTGATGCTTTCTATAATATTTTTGTCTTCCATTTCCTATATTTGGGCTCTTATTTTTGTGATTTGGATTCTTCTACTAATGTTGGGGTTTTGGTAGTCTTCTCTTTCCAGCTCCCTTAGGCGATTTGTTAGGCTCTCCACTTGTGACCTTTCCATTTTCTTGATGTGTGCTGATAGAGATATAAATTCCCCTCTTAGAACTGATTTCATGGTATCCCAGAGGTTTTGGTAAGATGTTTCTTCATTTTCATTTGTTTCCAGGAATCTTTCAATTTCTTTTCTGACTTCAGTGTTGACCCATTCACTGTTCAGCATCATGCTTTGTGGGCTTTGGGGAAATGTTGGTTTTGATATTTGTTTTTATTCCATTGTAGTCTGAGAATGTGCATGGCAAGATCTTAACCTTATGGAACTTGCTTATGCTTGATTTATGGCCAAGGATGTGATCAATCTTGGAGTATGTTCCATGTGGTGATGAGTAGAATGTATATTCTGTGGTTGTTGGGTGGAATAATCTGTAGGTATCTACTAAGTCCATTTGGTCAAGTGTTAAGTTTAGGTTCTGGATCTCCTTGTAGATTTTTTGCCTCGACAATCTATCTAGGGATGTCAGTTGAGTATTCAAATCCCCTGCTATAATAGTGTTAGAGTCAATATATTTTTCAGTTTATTTAGTAGTTGCTTTATAAATGCTGGTGCTCCTGTGTTGGGTGCATACATGTTTAGGATGGATATCTCTTGTTGAGGGATTGAACCTTTTATCATTATGTAGTGTCCTTTTGCATCTTTTTAAATTTTTGATAGCTTAAAGGTTGTTTTGTCTGATTTAAGATTACAACTCCTGCCTTTTTTTGTGATCCATTTGTCTGGAAACTCATTTTCCATCCTTTAACTTTGAGTCTATGTGCGTCCCTTGTAGTGAGATGAGTCGCCTGGATGCAGCAAATAATGGGGTCTTGGTTTCTTATCCTGTGCGCCATTCTGTTTCTTTTCAGTGGTGCATTTAGTCCATTCACATTCAGGCTGATTATTGGAATATGATTGCTTATCCCTGTCATGAGGTTCTTATAAAGTTTTTTCTTTGTTTGCTTGTTTTCTTTTGGCTTTGAGGTTAATGTGTGCGTATGTTTTCTTTTTTTTTTTTTGGAGTTGGAGTCTCACCCTGTCGCCCAGACTGGAGTGCAGTGGCTGCTCCCAGCCACCGCAGCCTCGACCTACTGGGCTCCAGCGATCCTCCCACCTCAGCCTTCCAAGTAGCTGGAACTACAGGCATGCACTACCATGCCCGGCTAATTTTTTTTTTTTTTTTTATTGTAGAGGTGAGGTCTCGCCTGTCCAGGCGGGTCTTGAACCCGCAGGCTCAGGCAATCCACTCACCTCAGCCTCCCAAAGGCGCGGGATTACAGGCTGAGCCACCGAGCCTGGCGCGTATGTTTTCAAGTTTCTTGCTGCACTGTATTCTCTGTTGATACTGTGCTCTGCTGTTCTCTTGAGAAGTGTGTCGTGATTCTTTTTCTTTCTTTCTTTCTTCTGTGTTTAATACTTTTCTAAGTTTCTCCTACAGAGCTGGTCTGGAAGCTGCATAACGAGATGATCTTAAGGATTGGATGTCTGGGAAGGATTTTAATGTTTCATCACTGATGAAGTTGAGCTTGCCTGGATAGGAAATTCTTGGTTGAAATTTCTTTTCTTTGAGGACTTTGAATATAGGGCTCCAGTCCCTTCTTGCTTATAGTGTTTCTGCTGATAGGTCTGCTGCTATCTGATTGGTTTCCCCTGGTAGATAGTCTGACCTTTCTCTCTTGCTGCCTTTAGGATTTTTTCTTTTGTGCCTGCGAATAACTATGTGAGTTGGCCTTCTCATTTGATGTCTTGTGGGGAGTCTCTGTATCACTTGTGCTTGGCTGGTTACATCTCTGGTGAGATGGGGAAAGTTTTCTTGGATTACCTCCTGGAATACTTGTTCCAAGTTGTTCTCATTTTCCCTTTCTTCTTCTGGGATACCAGTCAGGCATAGGTTCAATCTCTTGATATAATCACACATCTCTTGTAGGCTTTGCTCTTTCTTTCTGAGTCTTCTTTCCATGTTTTTTACAGATCGGGTTAATTCCATGTTCTGGTCTTCAAATTCTGAGATTCTTTCTTTAGCTAGATTAATTCTGCTTTCCATGATTGTCATCTCGTTATTTATTTCCTGGATAAAATTTTTTATTGCCAGAATCTCTGTTACAAGTTCTTTCAGTGTTGCATCTTTCTTTCTTGAGTCTTATTCACTCTTTCCAACCATTCCCTGATCCCTGTCATATTCTGGGGCCAGTCGTTGGTGGCTTCCATTGTTTGGGCACCAAGGTCTGATTTCCCAGGACTTTTGTCTTTGGTAGACTTGGAATTGCCTGAGGTCTTCCTTGGACTTTGCCTCATTTGTGACAGATCTCTTGTTTTTTCTTTAGTTATGTTATTCAGTGTCAGTGAGAGAGGTTTTCCCTTTTTTTTTTTTTTGAGTTGAAGTCTCACTCTGTCACCCAGACTGGAATGCAGTGGCTGCTCCCAGCCACTGCAGCCTCAACCTGCTGGGCTCTGGTGTTCCTTCCGCCTCAGCCTTCCAAGTAGCTGGAACTACAGGCATGTGCTACCACACCCGGCTAATTTTTTGATTTATTGTAGAGATGAGATCTCACCAAGTTACCCAGGTGGGTCTCGAACCCACGGGCTCAGGCAATTAACTCACCTCAGCCTCCCAAGGCGTGGGATTACAGGCTGAGCCACCGATCCTTCCCTTCTGATGTTTGCTGAGTCTTCTATTCTTCCCTGATCCAGGCTCTGGTTTTGTTCTATTTTGAAATAGGATGGTGGATGGGAAGCTTTGCTGTCTCTTGTAGTTTTTGAAATCTGAGTAAAGTGGGGGTTGGGTACTAGGAGTCAGATGCTACTTGCAAATTAAAATGTTCACTTATTGTGGTATGTTTTCCCTGAGATCCACTTCCTACCACCACTCTATATGATGATGCAAAGCAGAAACCAATCCACACTACAAAACAATCTGCAATAACAACCAAATGAGACAAAACAAACCACCACAACAGAAAAATCCCAAGAAAACTAACCACAAACACACAAGCCTACTACGAAGTGAATAGAGAAGAAAGACAAAAAAACCAAAGGGGGATAATAAGAAAAAAGAAAAAAGCTTCTCTACATGTTAAAGGATTTGATAGTGACATGATTCTTCTAACAGACAGTATTTAATTGCTTGCAAGTAATATTCGCATATTTTCTAAACGTACCTGGTTTTGTGTAAGACCTCATAATCAGTCACAGGCAATCCAAAAAGTTGTTCACCAGAAGAATAAGTAACAAATTTCCTCCAAAGATCATCAAAATTGGCCTACAACAAAGGTTTTTAAGTTGTACTAAAATATAATTAATTCGGTAGAACTTATTATATAATTGGGATAAAAGCTAGGTGGAAGTGTATTAATTTCTATTAAATAAGATTGTGAAGCAAATTTATACTGACACCAAGCTATCACAGGAAAAGTTAAATACTTAGGAAAGTTAGCTTTTAAACATTTTAAAAGCATCCACTTTATATAAAATTATTTCTTTAATAAATAAAGTAGTCTCCAGAAGACCTATATTTCAAGTTCTCATGAATACATCTGAAAGTAATAAAACTGCACTTTAAATATGTATAATTCAGACTTTTTGACTAAATTAGAATAGCCATCTATCTCTCCTACAGGGTTCAAATGAGCGAACTGTTATTCTAAGTCATTTGATCCTGTTTTCTCTACATGGAATAGACTATAAAACAAAATATTCCATTTTAACGCCATTTGAAATAATTCTCACATTTTAAATCAGCAAAGTTATTGTACCTGTCTTCTATTTTTTTTTTTCTTTTGAACTCGAATTTGAATATCCTGTATTTGGAGTGCTACATATTAACAATGTTCAGAGCACCAAGGTCTATAGAAGTAATCCAGCTGTGACTCTGCATAAATAGTACAATATATTCATATGGACCCTAAATTCCCAGCCCCAGAGAATATCTGATAACAGACCTCACAGTGCTCAGACAAAAACACAGATTTGACAGATATATGAGCATATTTTACAGTAGTCAAATCAGGAAGGTGTGGCAACACAGGAAGAACTCCAATTAACTCTCAGTCCCTAGAGGGCAAGGGCCATATTTTGCGTTTTTGTATTCTTGGTAGTTATTCAGTAAATTGAACAAAAGTCCATGAGACCAAGGGAACACTAGAAAAGGAGAAACAAGAACTTCAAAGTTAGAATACATTAAAATAATGGTGTTTAAAATCTTGTCAACGTGGTAAAGGCTGTTGATGGATGCCAATCATTCACCTTTTTTCTTCAGGTTCCAAATAATATAAAAAACCTACAACACCAGTCAAACAGGGAATCAAGTATCAGTTTTGTCAGCAGACAAGCAGAGTGCCCAATAACACCCTACAAATAAAGTTGCATTAGAGAACACCACTAGAACCCAAGGCCCAGTGTGAGGCACCTGCTTCTTCCCAGACCTAGATCTTGACACCTGCTTTTCACATATCCAACAAAATGCATGGCCAATATCTCATTTGGCCCACGCCCCCAGGCACAGGCAGAACACAAGGTACAAAAAAGCAAGAGATGAGCCCCTACATCGTCTTTTCCATGAAGAGCCCACACTGCCGGTAAAAAAGTGTGACACAGAACATCCCAGCTGCTGACTAATAAATTGGTTTACATCACGTGTCTGAAATTTTTTCTGTAAATTTGGACACAAGGTTATCTGCTGAAACAAATCCCAAAGCTACTCCTCCTCCCATATTCCCTACTTCAATAAATGAAACTTCAACAGATGAAGCTCTACCTTCATCTATTTGCTTTTTCCTCCTCAACCCATGCTCCAAGCCTGTCAAATCTACCTATTTTTTTAAACTCATGATCCATCCAGTTTTCTTGATTCTACAGCTGCCACTTGTTTGGTCTCAACCTCTACAATTTCTTGCTTGTATTACAAAAACTGCGATCAGTCTAATTATTCTCTGCCCAAACCAGTCTCCACATTAATGTCACAAAAATTATTTTAAGATGCAACTGTTTTAAAAATACAAGTATGACCTTATCACTCCTTGCTTAAAACCCTCCAACCCTCTGCATAGGATCCAAAGTCCCTCCATGAGCGGTCTCTGCCCACTCTGCTGCCCCACCCTCATCACTATCCTCTCTGCCCACTGCACCCCAATGGCACACTACCCTATACTACACTACTTATATCTCCCCAAATCTCCCTGCTTGTCTCTTCATTGCTGGGTCTTTGTTTGTGCTGTCAATCTGGCCTAACTTGCCTTTCCTCCATTCCCTGGTTAACTCTAATTAGTCTTTCAAGTTGCAGCTTAGATGCCTCCTCTTCCAGGAAGCCTTCCCTATCTGCCCCAACCAACCCCATCTGGTTTGGGAGCCCCTTACACCTGTTTCCATTACACAGTTCCCCATACCTAGATCATAGTACTTATCACACAGGTTTGGAATTATCTCTCTAAGCTTGCTGTCCCCCTGCCAGATTTTAGCTGCTTAGAGGTAAGAACCATTTCTTAATCAAGTTCTAGTGAGTAAGCCGCACTGTGGGCATCTGATAAATATTTGTTTAACTACTAAGAATGTAGTTGGAAAGGAGACATGAAAAGAACATCTACACATTGTTCAGTCACTGTAAGAAACAGGAAAAAAGAACAGGAATAAAGAACAGGCTTGCCTGATGTTCCTGAGGGGTAAGTTTACATAAGAATCCATGCATTTGCAAAACATTGATTCAAATGAGTGTGTAATTTTCTCTACATGTGTTCAGCAATCAGAGTGTAGAAAAGAGTGGTGAATGGTTGACCTGATCTAATGAATATGGTGCCGCCTTGGTAGGACTGTGGGGAAGTTTAAAGTGATGGGCACGAGAGGAAGAAAAAGAATGGGTACAGATGGAAGGCAGGAAATATATTTGCCAATATTTAAAATCTTATTTGGATACATTGTTTTACAGAATGAATTTTTATTACTTTACATATCAAGCAAAATGCTTAGAACTAGGACAAGGTATAATTTAAGTTCAAAATCCAGGTCTTATTCTCTAAAAATACAGAGCTATTTTGTGGAGAAGGACATGGAGGGACACAGAGAAGGAGTCTATTCTGTCATTTAGCAGACTAGAATACAACTAAAGTCTGTAAGTACTTTAAACACTATTCTAAAGTAAAACATAAATTTTCCCTAAAATCATTTTTTAAAATAACACATTGTCAGTGTAACTCCCCCCAAAATGTGGTTTTACCTGAAATATCTGTAGCCTATTGCTAGCTTCTTGGGGTGGTATATTTGGAACCATGGGTCCTTCCTGTAAGAAATGATATGATCTCCATTTTCATTCTTAATCATATGTATTTGTCAGTTATTAAGCTTATCTATTATTTCCTTTTACATAAATAAGCAACATTATTTTAAATTTAAATAATCTACTTTTGCCCTATACTTGAAGCTTTCACTTATTTTTATAACAGTTTTATGGAGATAAAAATCACATTCACACACCCATTTAAAGTATACAATTCAATGGTTTTTAGTATATTCAGAGTTGTACAACCATAACCACAATCCATTTCAGAACATTTTTATCACTCCAGTTTCCATGCATTTTTAAAGGGCCTTGACACAGCTAATAAAAAAAAGTGACAAAATTACATTTTATATGAAGTGTATACCACAAAAGTTCTGTCAGATTTTACTTATGATTATAAATGATGATGCTAGGATTGTGCATTAGAATAACTGATAAAGAGTTCTGAGAATAGCCTCCATTTACTAATTGTCCAGTCCAATATGGAATTGAGACACACATAAATTGAACAATTGGAAGAAGCAGAAGGTCATCACTGGTGCCCATAAGCCAGAACACAGTTGCAAAATAATTTCCCAAAAACAGTACCCAAAGTAATCAAAAGAATAAAAGAATTTACTACAGTGATAGATTTAAATAGTAAAGGTTACTATCCATGGAAAAATGAGAGATATTATGTTATCATGGTCTATGCAACCATAAATATTATTAATATACTAAATAATAAACCAGGTTTCCAATACAGTTGGGTTAAAAAGGTAAACTGAGGTACAATAATATTTTACAGAGTTTATCTGAGCACCAGAAGTGGTTCAGAGGCTCAGAAGTGTACAGCCTTTTATAGAGTGAATACAGAAATAAAACAAAGAAAATATTTGATTGGTTACAGTTATGAAAAGAATGTCTTCTTTGGACTATCCTGTTGGAGAGTCCATAAAAGTTACATAATTATAGATTTACTTGCTGTTTCTGATTGGTTGAGTTTAAGTTATGTCTTACTTTAATATTAATATAGGCATGTATAAGAAATAGCTCAGTAAGTTTCACATGTCAGCAAATCATACAAGGTAAGATGCTTAACAGGCTTTGTCTGCTCAGGGATTCTTCAGGCCTTGTCTCCATTTTCATTTACTTTAAAAACAGAATGATAGGGCAACTCAAGAGATAAGTTTAGTACATGTAAAAAAAAAACAGTTATATAAATAGCAACAGGTGTTTAAATCATCTTATGAATATAGATCCATTGTGACCACTAAAAGAAAAAATAGTTTGGGGGAACATATCCAATTTTGAGTTTAACTTCAAGGAAGTCAACATCTTTCAACCCATTTTATCTAAGAGTTTGCGAAAATGCAAAATAAGTTGCATAATACCCTAGTATCAGGGCATTCATAGTTTCTTAAAGCCTTCCAACAATTGTATTACATTTTCTACTATGAAAATTGTGGCCAGCCAGGTGCAGTGGCTCCTGCCTATAATCCCAACACTCTGGAGGTTGAGAGAGAAGGATTGCTTGAGCCCAAGAATACAAGACCAGCCTGGGCAACACAGTAAGACCTCATCTCTACAAAAAAATTTAAAAATTAGCCAGGCATGATGGCACACACCTGTAATCCCAGCTATTCGGGAGACTGATGCAGAAGGATCGCCTGAACCCAGGAAGTCAAGCCTGTGGTGAGTCATGATAGTGCCACTACACTCCTGTCTGTGTGTCAGAGTGAGACCCCGACTCAAAAAAAAAAACAAAGGAAGGAAGGGAGGGAAGGAGGGAGGGAAAATTGTGGCCCTGAGAAAGGACAAAACTAGAACCTTTGTTGTTCCTTCTACAATCTCCAAAGTTGTTGCTTCTTTAACAATAAAATCTGCTTTCTTTTCTATAAAAAATGCTTAAAGGATTAGCTATCCCCTTTTACTGACAGCTGCAAATAAGCAGATTTAGCCTCTCTACATACAATATACATACCTATTTCTCAGGATTCCTCATTTTTATTTCATAAAAACATATCACAACATTTTAACACACAGCAAGCAAATACTAAATTACCGTCTCATATGCATCTGCAAAGTTTATTACATCCTCACGAAAAATTTCCACAGACTCAAGTAGACTACTTTTAAACTTTGGCTGCACTTGAACTAGTTCATCTTGTACAGAAACCTAGAATAAAAAAGAATATTCAGCTGAGAGAGAAAGTAACATGTTAAAAATGAAAACTACAATTCTATTTCAGCAAGTTTTTTTATCTCACAGATGTCCTGCATGAATGACACATCTCTTTGTAATAAAATACATTAAAAAGCCAAGAGCATCTACTGAAGACTCAAATCATTCTAGTTTGTAACCCAAGAGGCAAAGTCATTTTCTCTGTAACTAAAGTTAGTAAAAAGTTTTCTGACTGATTTAGTTCAAGGAATCATTGTTGCCAGGGAAAGAGTTATTGGCCCAGTCAGGTCACATGCTGTTTCCAGGGCCAGGCCAAGGTCTGGTATTAGCAGTATCCAATAGGTTCACAGGGCTGATGTGATTGGAGCAATTCTCTTATTTAAAAAGTGTTATTACTCTAGATATATATTTTATAAAATAGCAAATGCCCTCCAAAATGATATTGAAAGAGTCTGTTTAAACCTTCAATAACAATAGCTGGCATTTGAATAATGCTTAGCTTACTATCTGCCACACTCTTTAAATATGTTAACTCATGTAACCTTCATAGCAACCCTATGCAGTGAATTCCATTATGCTAATATTATACAAGGGGAACCCAAAAAAACCAGAATTACCTTTTGGAAGGCAGTTTCCTCCCCCACCCCACCCCACCCGGCCAAGTATTTTGTTCTAGGAACCCATTGGCATCAGTGTACCAGCTAAGAAGCTGCATTCAGCTTCAGTGAATTTGGGGGGAGAAGATTCTTTCAACATGTCTGCCCATTTCATGATGGGTGATTTACAAGGGCACCTGCCCACACCATGCTGAGTGTTTGGCAGCTTTTGACGAAAACCAGTATGATTCCAGTGCCCCACACTCCCTATTCACCTGATCACACACTGAGTCACTTTTTTTTGTTTCCCCAGATGAAAATAGTCCTCAAGGACTATTTCGCCAATGTGGAAGAGGTGAAACAAAACGTGGCAGAAGCACTAAAAGGCATCAAAATTGATTAATTCAAAAACTGTTCTGAACAGTGGGAAAAGCATCTTTATAGGTGTATTCCATCAGACAGAGACTACTTTGAGGTGACTGAAGTTTAATTATGTAAATTTTTAATAAATAAATTTTGGGTTCCCCTTATACTGTTTTACAGTTGGGAAAACTGAGGCACAGAGAGGCTAGGTAACTTCCCCAAAGTGCCAGCACCAGTACAAAGCAAAGTCAGGCAGTGTGGTTCCATGGTTCCTGCTCTTAACTGTTCTCCATAATAGCATCTATCTATAGGTTGGAACATATACTACTTTATTAGTGATGGTATAGAACAGTCTATATCTATACTAAAGGATGAGCCACTGGGTTTAACACTAACTGCTAAAGACAGAGAACAACCTAAGTAAATCCTTTCCATTGAACAATAACAGAAAATTGCATTTCATTCAATCTCTATTAAGAATTCCTCGTTTCTTTTCTAAGATTTGCACCCCTAACAGCAAGCTTTTCTCAAAGTAAGCTATTAGTTAAAATATTGAATATAAATTTAAATAAACATGAATATTTAAAAAGTATTTTTATATACATTACCTCAAGTGAGACTCACAACTGTGTATAAAAATTATCAATATTCCTAAATGACCACATGAGAAAATTGAGAAAAAAATGTTATTAACTTGCATAAGATCATCCAACTGACCATGACAGAACTACAATCACAAGCCATGATTATGACTCCAATTTCAGTTCCGTGTCCTTGATACTGTGTTGTGCTTCAATATCAGTGGCACATACTTTCATAAATAAGAAATTTTAAGCCAATATCCAATTTAACTAATATTCAATAAAAATTTGGTGTAATTAAAGAATGTGAATCATCCCTTGGAGTTCATTTTAATGTCTAACTTCTGGTGTGTCAATGTTTACCAACTTCAAAAATGTTTAGAGAAATTTATAATTATAAATGCCTACATTAAAAGAAACAAATCTCAAATCAGTAACCTAATCTTAACAAACTAAAAAAAGAAGACCAAAGCAAACACAAAGCAAGCAGAAGAGAAGGAATAATAAAAACTAAAGCACAAATAAATGATAGAGATTCTAGAAAGGCAACAGAGAAAATCAACAAACCAAATGTTTCTCTTTTGAAGACTGACAAAATTGACAAGCCTTTACCTAGATTAACAAAGAATAAAGGAGAGAAAACTAAGATTACTAAAATCAGCAATGAAAGAGATGCATCGTTATTGAACTGACAAAATTTTTAAAATCTCAAGAAAATACTATTACTAAATTACTAAAATTAAGAATGAAAGAGGGGACACCACTACCAGCCTTATAGAAATAAAAATGACTATAAGGACACATTCAACATAGTGAACTGTCAACCTACAAAATGGGAGAAAATATTTCCAAATCATATACCTGATAAGAGATTAGTATCCAGAATATATAAGGAACTCCTACAATTCAACAACAAATGGAAAAATACCCTGATTATAGCATGGGCAAAGGACTCAGACAAACATTTCTTCAAAGAAGATATACAAATAGCCAACAAGCATATTAATTAAAAAGTCCACTATCACCAATCACTAGGAAAAGGCTAATCAAAACGACAATGAGATACCACTTCAATCATAGGATGCTCCTATCGAGAAAACAGAAGTACTGACAAAGATGTGGAGAGACTGAAACCCAGATGCACTGTTAGTGACAACGTAAAATGGTGCAGCTGCTATGGAAAACAGTATGACAGTTCTTCTAAAAGTTAAAAATAGTATTCCTTAGAATTACCATATGATCTAACAATTTCGCTTCTGAGTATATACCAAAAAGAATTAAAAGCGGAGTCTTAAAGAGATATGTACGCCCATATTTACAGTAGCATTATTCACAATAGCCAAAAGAGGGAAGCAGCCCAAATGTCCATTGGTGGATAAATGAATCAACAAAATGTGGTATATACATATAATAAAATATTATTCAGCCTTAAAAAGGAAGGAAATTCTGGCACACGCTACATCTTGTACATCTTGGATGAATGTTGAGGACATTATGCAAAGTGAAATAAGCCAGTTAAAAAAAGATAAATATTATATAATTCCACATATATGAAGTACCTAGAGTAATCAAATTAATAGACAGAAAGTAGAATGATGATTGTCAGGGCCTAGAGGGAGGGGGAAATGGAGAGTTGTTTAATGGGTACAGAACTTCAGTTTTCCAAGATAAAAAGCTCTGGAGATTGGTGCACAACAATATGCATATACTGGACTTTAAAATATTAAGACAGTAAATTTTTATCTACTATAGTACAGTTTTTTCTTGTTTTAATTTTTTTTTTTAAAGATATGGGGTACAATTCAGGATTAGGTATATGAGTGGGCATCATACAAGTAAATTTTGGACCTTCCTTTGGTCCCCACTTTGCCTGGTTTGAGATCAGGTACTGTTATTAAAGTTATGTGCCCTCTCTCCTCTGGCAGTTTCTGGCTACTGCCAATCCCTCTCTTGTAGTATTATGGTAAATGTTCAGGATCTGCTTATGAGTGAGAACATGTGGTACTCAGTTCTTTGTTTCTGTTCCACAGTTTTTTCAAAAACTTAGTACAAAGTTAAGTCATCAAGACAGTGTGGTACTGGTATAAGTATAAACATATAGATCAGAATAGAATAGAGTGTCTGAAATAAACACTTACATTTATGGTCAAGTCATTTTCAGCAAGGTTGCCAAGATAATTTATTGGTGAAAATTAGTATATTGTCAATAAATGATGCTGAGGCAACTGTATATCCACATGCTTTTGCATGAAGTTGGACTCCTAATTTATACATATGCAAATATTAACTCAAAATGTATCAGAGACAGAAATATAAAGGCTAAAACCATAAAATTCTCATAAGAAAATATGAGTAAATCTTTATAATCCTAGATTGGGCAATGATTTCCTAGATATGATACCAAAAACACAAGCAAGAACAACAGCAACAGCAAAAATAGATAAACTGGACCAGACCAAAATAAAACATTTATGCTTCAAAAGATGCCATAAATGAAGTAAAAAGATAACCCACAGAATGAAGGAAAATATTTGCAAAGCATATGTCTGATAAGGAACTTATATCCAAAATATATGAAGTACTCTTACAACTCAAAAATAAAAAACCCGATTTTTTTAAAATCAGAGGATTTAAATTCATATTTCTCCAAAGAAGGTATACAAATGGCAGATAAAATGGCCACATGAAAAGATAGCTAATATCATTAGCCATTAGGAAAATTATGTGCCAGAACATGGGACAATATGGATGAACCTTGAAAAATTATGTAAGTAAAGAAGTCAGTCACAAAAGACCCCATAATATATGATTTTATCTATATTAAACACCCAGAAAAGAAAAGCCCACAGAGATAGAAAGTATATTTATGGTTTCCAGGGAGGGGGCAAGAGGTACAATGGGGAGTGACTGCTAATGAGTAGGTTCTTTGGTGGGTGAGGACAATGTTCTAAAATTAGATAATCATGGTGGTTATACAACTCTGTGAATGCTAAAAACCACTGAGTCGTATACTTTAAAATAGTAAATTTTATGATATGTATATTATATCTCAATAAAACTGTGAAAATAATATACAGTCATGTGCTTCTTAACAACGGGAATACGCCGGGCTCGGTGGCTCAGCCTGTAATCCCGTGCCTTTGGGAGGCTGAGGTGAGTGGATTGCCTGAGCCCGCGGGTTCGAGACCCACCTGGGCAGGCGAGACCTCATCTCTACAATAAATCAAAAAATCAGCCGGGCGTGGTAGCGCATGCCTGTAATTCCGGCTACTCAGAAGGCTGAGGCGGAAGGATCGCCGGAGCCCAGCAGGTCAAGGCTGTGGTGGCCGGGAGAGGCCACTGCACTCCAGTCTGGGCAACAGAATGAGACTCCAACTCAAAAAAAACAAAACAAAACAAAACAAAAAAAACAACGGGAATACATTGAGAAATGCATTGCTATGTGATTTTGTCATTTACAAACATTATAAAGCACAGTTACACAAACCTAGACAGTGCAGCCTATCATGCAGTTAGGTACTGAATAGTATTCCCAGGCTACAACGTGTACATCATGATACTGCACTGAATACTGTAGACAATTGTAACACAATGGTAAGTATCTGTGTCTCTAAACATAGAAAAGGTACAGTGACAACACAGTATTATAACCTTAAGGGACCACTGTTCTATATGCAGTCTGACACTGAAACATCATTATGTAGCACATGACTATATTAAATTTTTTAAGAGTATGAAATACTTTTTTCAGTAGATAGTGAATAACAAAAAATAAGATAAACTTGTACTTACAGCTTTGCTCTGCAATTTATTGAAAGAATATCTCAAGGTATCAACTGCTTCTGATTCTTCTTTGGTTACTTCTACTTCAAATCTGTTTAAAATAGCATAGGCTTCCTGCAGAAATATCATAAGGGAAAACAATTGTCAAATAATTTAGATTCCTTCTAGAAACATACGCCTATGTCTTAGAAGACAGCATATTTTAAAAGAGTGGTTTTGAAAATTAAATGTGTATAAAAAGCACTTTTAGATTCTCACTGACTTCCAGATACTGACTCTAGATCATAGGCTCTGAAATCTGCATTTAGTAAGCACCTAGACATGTCTGATGGAGATATAGGCAGATCATGTCAAGAGACACAGCTTTAAAAAAAATCTCTACAGTAATTTTCTGTATCTCTTTCTCTTCCTGAACTTATGCCAACACTATGCAAGAAAATTTCACATATGCTATTAAAACAGGGATTGGCTATATAAGAAATGGATGAAATAATGTGGGAGATTCTCCAAAAGGAGAAACTTGAATGATCCAAGGGATGGATTGGCAATTGGCTTTACCAAAAGAATGTATGAAGAAGGATTAAGCTTCTGCAATCAGGAAGAAAAAAAAAAAGGATGATTTATTGACTCGAGAAATATGGATGGTCAGCATACAAAATTCCCAAGAACTAAGATTTTTTAAAGTAGTGAAAGCATAAAGTTCATTAACTACCAAAGAGTATAAACTCTAAATAGGCTCAAGAAAGCATAAAATAGTCACGAGCATTGGGAACAAAGAGGGAGGCAGTGGAGGGGTGCTAATTTCCCAGATACTGCAAGTAACAACAGAGTACATTGTTTCATTGTTTGTAGAGAACAAAACAATAATAAAAAGAATTGAGTCTCATTTTTATTATCACAAGTCAGAAATTATAAATACTAATCCTAAAACACTTGTGATCGACAAGATAACGGGCTTTCCCAATGTTGTCCAAATGTTGATACCCAAAACCTGTGAATTTATGACCTTACATGGCAAAAGGGACTTTTGCAGATGTAATTACATTAAGGAGCTTGCAATGGGGAGTTTATCCTGGATTCACCAGTTGGGCCTAATGTAATCACAAAAGAGTGATGCCACTGCTAGAAGGGGCCATGAGCCAAGTAATGTGGGAAGCCTCTATAAGATGGAAAAGGCAAGGAGTGGATTCTCCCCAAGAACCTCCAGAAGCAACACAGCCATACTGACATCTTGATGTTAGCCCCATTTTCGGATTCATGATCTCTCGAACTCTAAGATAACAAATTTGTGTTATTGTGAGCCATTAAGTTTGTGGCAATTTGTTATAGCAGCAATAGGAAACTAACACAGTACCCTATCCGAAAAACATCTTTTGTTGATCTACATTCCGCAGTCTATTATTGAGCTTGGGTAGACTGTTCCCACCTACTACCCATGATTTGCCACTAGTCATGAGTAACACCTATAAGTGGCCAAAGATATTTGGAGAACTTCCCTAATATGCTGGGATTGATGTAAGAGAGTACTGTACAAGTATTCCTTTCCATAAAATGTTGGTACTGGTATCAAAAATTGAACACTGTTTAACTCTAGCTCCATACAGCATTATTAATATATCAATATTCCTTTGTATATCATTCACTTTTGTTAGTTGTCAAAGTTCCCTCTAAAGATATCAACATCAAAATGGAGAAACAGGCAGACTATGCCATGTAACAGATGAAGAGATATGTTAAAAAATCCTTTTTCAGTGTGTCTTTATTCCCTCCCTCCCAAAAAAGAGCATTTCAAGAAAGAAAAATGTGGTTATTTCTTACTTCAATTGGTCCCAAAGTCATGTCCATTTGAATTTCATTATCACGGATACAGGACAAGGCTTCCATTGCAAATCTAACATCATCTAAATCACGAATAGGTCTAGATAACTTTTTCAAGTATTCATTAATAAATGTTATCATGTCTGTCATTTTCTTTTTGTATTCTTTATTCAAATATCGACAAAGTAACATCTTCCATGCCTTAGCCTCAATTGATAGGGCCAATTTCATTGGTTCTGATAAAAGAGATTAAAACAAAAAACAATTGGCATTCTGAAACTATAACTCTGTGTATAGTCTGAGCACCCATAACTGCACCATCCAATTCAGTAGTCACTTACCCACATGTGGCCATTGAGCACATTAAGATGTGGCTAGCCTGAATGAAATGTGCTGTAAAATCACCACAGTTTGAAGACTTAATTTCTATCCCCATGGAGCTTATATCCCAGTGGAGATATAAGATACAGCCCATGAGGGAGAATTTCTGAAATTAGTTCTAACACCTTGCTCTGTTTCTGACCATCTCATTAGCAACCCTCACTCATTCCCCCATTTCCCCACACAGTGCAGTGAAATCTATTGTTTTATCTGTCCAACCATGACGTCATAGTTTTCTTGTTATTCTACTTCCCACCTCATTCACATGGTTAGAGTATCTGTATAATCTGACCCTACACCCTGGGCCTAGCTATCGTCTCAAGTCAACTTGATCTGTTGTGGACCAATCAGACTCCTTTTTTGAGAGATTGCAATGAGACTTGGGAAGAAGTCATGTGGTCTGGGAAGCAGGAAAAGATATGTATAGAGGGAAGAAGAAATGAGAGGCAAAGAGAGAGAAAGGACTTCCTCAGCTTCCTATACTATCCCTGACTCTGGTCCACTCTGATCCCAGGACTATCTTGGATTCTAGGATCAGCTTTTCCTCCCTTAATGTAGCTCAAAGGGGTTTCTTTTTCTTGAAAACAAAATAGCTCTAACTAGTCAACTCTATTTTATCAATTCCATCCCTCTCTTTTCCTCTCAGTACTCTTACACTCCCCAGCCCTGCCAAGCTTGAAACATGGCTGCTCCCCACTCACCTTCCAACCATTAAACTGAGAGGCCTATGGAGCAAAGGAGAAAGTGAAGCCTGAGCAGAGCCATGTAGCCAGCTTGTTAGTTTAGGCTGAGAGACCATGTCTCATGAGGTCCTCTTGTGGCCTCATTTCCTCAGGTTGTAGGGACTCAACCCGCCTTCCTGTTTCTTTATAATCATTGTCACCTACTCCATTTTTTGGCTTCCTCTCTCCAGAAACAAGTACCTTAGCCCACTCTAACAATATGCTAGAGTTGCTTTTTAAAATAAGAATAATAGTGCTAGTCATTCCAAAGAGACAAATAAGAAATTTAAAAATAATAATATAGTTTCCAGTCCTAGTAATGACTGTCCTGACATATAGCTTCCAATTTCCAGCTAAATAAGCCCCTCAAGTACTTTTGATTCTTCCTCAAACTAAACCTTTTATTGGTAGACATAATAATATTTAACATTTATTGAACAACAACTATTTGCCAGGTACTATACTAATGGTCTCATATAAAGCAGTTCATGAGGTGAATACTGTCATTATCACTAGCAGAGGAAATAGAGGTTAAAGAGGTCAAATAACCCAACTGATCAAATAGAAGAGCCACAGTTACATTAATTCCCTGAGGTTAGATCTGAAAATCTATCTAAGGTAGATAATTGATGTAAAATAGCTCATTTAAATATCATCTGACAATAAAATCTTCCCTCAAACTTAAGACAAGACTGATTGTTCTGTAGTCATGGTAACAATGAGCCACCAAACCAGCTTTTTTTTTTTTTTTTTGAGTTGGAGTCTCACTCCATCGCCCAGGCTAGAGTGCAGTGGCACGCTCACAGCCACCGCAGCCTCAACCTACTGGGCTTAGGCAATCCTTCTGCCCCAGCCTTCCAAGTAGCTGGAACTACAGATGCACGCCACCATGCCCAGTTAATTTTTGTGATTTATTGTAGAGATGAGGTCTCACCAAGTTGCCCAGGATGGTCCCAAACCAGTTTTAAACCCAAACCACAGACCAACTCATCTCAGTTCTCATACTTTTGCAAGCCAATCGGTATCAGCCCCTTTTTTCTGAATGACAACTAATGGGGAGGGATATACTCCAATAAACCTACCTCTGAGTGCTACGCAAACAACAGTCTCACCTGAGTAAGCATCCTTGTACAGATTATGTCAACCTATTTACATTCACAGTCCTTAAACTCCATACTGCCCCCAGACACCCTGTATGAGACCAGCAGTCTTCCCTGCTGGGGACACTGCCTGACCAGCATAGCTCTCCTTTTCTATAGCAAGCAATAAAGTGGTTCAAAGATGAAGTGGTTATCTTATCATTCTTTGATACTCTAACCCCAAATGGATTGACTCTTCAAGACACCTGGAACTGTCTGACTCCTCTCTCATATACATAACTCTGCCCTCACAATAACTTAAAAGAGAATTCAGCTGTAGTTTTAGTTGACTAATTGCCAAAAGAGGAAGCATCCTCGATTGTGTATGTGTGAGTGTGTGTGTGTGTGTGTGTGTGTGTGTGTGTGTGTGTGTGTGTGTGTGAAGACTATTAATGGCCCAGGACTATTTAACATTTATAACACTATATCAAAGTAGCTTAATAACTGCTTGTTATTATATCAAGGTAGCTTAATAACTGCTTGTTTAATAAAGTAACATTTCATGTAGAAATAAAAAGACTTTATATAAAAAATATTTTTCAAATACCTGTATGTAATTCAAGTGCTCCTACAACAATAATAGGCTTCAACTCTTCAATCTCCTGTTCAAAAGTAGCATAGCGTAGAATTTCGGATCTGATTTCGGTCAGAGAGGGATCATTAGCTAAAAACTCCTGTAGCAGAGGAATAGCCAACGTTTTCTTTAAATGTTTAACAGTATATGTCTTTAACTTAGAAAACTGCATTTGCTCATACACATTTACACTTGTGTGTGCCTTGGGGCGAATGGCAGGGTAAGACATGGAGTATCCTGATAGCAGAGGAGAAGAGGAGGCTAGGTGAGGAAATTTCAATCTACCGTGAATGGTTATTTGGAGGTCTAAAGTTTCCCTGAGTCTCTAACCAAAAATACACACCCTTAAATACCTGGCCTCTGGATGGTGTCTGGGACATAATCGGTATTCAATTATTTAAGGGAATTAAACAAAATCTGTCTGAACCTCAATACTATCAGTTGTCTCAGAGTGTCCATGTGCGATTTATGCCAGCTAAGGTGCTTGGCATTTAGAGGCTCTTGGCCTCTGCTCATGAGTGCCTGGCATTATCACTGATGTTTTCCTGGTTCACCCTCAAGCGTTAAAGACAAACAATGAAAACCCAGACAACACCACAAGTAGTGGAAACATACCTTTACTTTCACATCACGGTCCTCTGTCCACAGAGTGTTGTACTTTTGAAAGTCCTGCAGGGCCTCATGAGCCACCTTTCTTAGAGAATTCACAGAGGAGGAAAGGAGAAGCACCAACTTAGAAATATCCTTGTGCTCCGCTACACCTGGGTAGAAATTCTTCAGCTTCCTCGCAGGAATAATTTCTTCAAAAGATTCTGAAAACAGATGTTTTTATATTATAAACAACTTCTACATTCAACTTCAAATATTATCAATTTTAATATTTATCTATTTTTTAAACTTTCTTTTCTTAAAGACTCTCCCTCCAAGTTATTAAGACCTATTCCAAGTAATCAAGAGCTATTCTCTTACTGTCTTCACTTTTTAAACTATTGTATCAGATTTTGAGATCTAGATTTCTTTAACCTGGAAGAACTGTTATTTAGTAGGAAAAACCGAAAGACACTGATTAAAATCTCCCCAAAATGTTAAAGTACTTTAAGAAAAGGTTAAGAGTTGAAACTGCTACCCTGCAGAACAGCATAGTGGTTAAAGAAAAGACACCACATTTATTACCCAAATGAACTTTGGCCAGTTATTTGATCTTCATGGATACACTTGTGAGGATTAAATGAAACAACCTATGTATTTCTTCAGTTCAGCATCTGGTATATAGCGATCATGAAATAAAACAACTATTAACCAATGTTATAAAGATTTATTGGGCCAGGCACGGTAGCATATGACTGTAGTCCTAGCTAGTTGGGAGGCTGAGGCAGGAGGATCTCTCTTGAGCCCAGGAGGTCGAGGCTGCAGTGACTACTATAAATTAAAGCTGAAGCTGACTACTATAAATTAAAGCAAAAGAAAATACATGTTATTGGCTTAGTTAATTAATTAATATTGCCACATTATGGTAACATCACTGCACTCCAGCCTGGGTGACAAAGCAAGACCCTGTCTCTTTAAAAAAATAACTTAAATTAAAACAAAAATCTATTGACAAAACCCAAGTCTGACCATGTTGTTCCCTTGATTGAAAATTTTCAAATCTCCATCAAGCAAAGACCACTCAGATACTTTTGTTTGGCCTAGGTAACACTTTATTTTTTAAAAACAATGTTAACAATTAAAAATCATGACATTATAGCAAAAACATGGAACCACCATGCTGCCCATTCAAAGAGGAGTGGACAAAAAAAAATATTATGCAGCCATAAGGACAAAACTATGAACTTCGCAGCAACTTGGATGGACTTAGAGTTTATAATACTGAGTGATCTATCACAGAAACAAAGAACCAAGTATCACATGTTCTCACTCATAAGGGGACCTTGAACAACTATCATAATACTATAAGAAAGGGATTGACAGTAATGGGAAACTGCCAGGGACGGTGAGGAGGGTAGGATTGTCAGCAGTGGGAAATTGCCAGGAGAGGGGGAGGCACACCTCATCAACAAGGGTACCTGCATAATGAACATTTGCATAACTAACCCTGAATTGTACTCCACATATTCAAAATAAAAAATAAAAACCATGAAATTTTACATGAAGTTACAGATTTCCACCTTATCTTTTAAAATGGCATAATCTGGTAGTATGGGGCCCACATTCCTGCATGGCAACAATTAGTTGAAGCTGACTACTATAAATTAAAGCAAAAGAAAATACATGTTATTGGCTTAGTTAATTAATTAATATTGCCACATTTTGGTAGTTTAATCTTTTTATTGCTGAGGAGTATTCCATTGCACAAATACACCACAGTTTATTTATTCACTCACCAGTTTTTGGTCATTTGTATAGTGGCAATTCGGGCCATTATGAATAATGTGGCTATGCCAATTCACATGCAAGATTTTACACAAACATATAATTTTATTTCTTTTGGATAAATTCCCAAGGGTGGAATTACTGAATCATATTGTAAAGATTTGCTAAACTTTTCAAGGAAGTAATAAGCTGGTTCCAAAATAGCTGTACCTTTTTTACATTCCCACCAACAATGTATCAGAATTCCAAGTTCCTTGCCAAAAATTTGTGTTGTCAATTTTTTTTAAAATTTTAACCATTCTAGTAGGTGTGTAGTGTTACTCCATCATGGTTCTAATTGCTTTTCCATAATGACTAGTGATGTTGAGCATCTTTCCATGTGCTTGTTAACCATTCATATATCTCCTTTGTTGCATTGTCTAATATTTTGCCCGTTGGAGGAGCATGTCTCTTTATTATTCAGTCATTAGAATTCTTTATATATTATAAATACAAGTACCTTATCAGATGTATGATTTGCAGGGGGTTTTTTGGGGGCATTTTTTGGTTTATTTGAGTAAGAGTCTCACTCTGTCACCCAGGCAAGAATGCAGAGGCACACTCAAGGCCACTGCATCCTCAACCTGCTGGACTCAGGTGATCCTTCTATCTCAGCCTTCCAAGTAGCTGGAACCACAGGCACACACCACCATGACTGGCTAATTTTTTGATTTTCTGTAGAGACGAGGTCTCACCAACTTGCCCAGGCTGGTCTCAAACTCCTGGACTCAAGCAATCCTCTCACCTGTGCCTCCCTAAGTACTAGGATTACAGGCATAAGCCACAGTAACAAATCGCCATTTTGAAAATGAATTACCATTTTGTTTCTTACAGCCACTGCGCCCAGTCTGCAAATATTTTCTCTCAATCTGTGGTGTATTTGTTTTTTTTAATTTTTTTTTTTTTTTTGAATTGGAGTCTCACTCTGTCGCCCAGACTGGAGTGCAGTGGCCGCTCCTGCCCACCGCAGCCTCGACCCACTGGGCTCCGACGATCCTTCCGCCTCAGCCTTCCGAGTAGCCAGAATTACAGGCACGCGCTACCATGCCTGGCTGATTTTTTATTTATTGTAGAGATGAGGTATCGTCAAGTTGCCCAGGCAGGTCTCGGACCCGTGGGCTCAGGCAACCCACTCACCTCAGCCTCCCAAAGGCGTGGAATTACAGGCTGAGCCACCAAGCCCGGCTGCTTTTTAATTTTTTAAATGGTGTGTTATGAAGAGCAAAAGTTTTTAATTTGGATGAAGTTCAATTTACTGATTTCTTTTTAATTTGGATGAAGTTCAATTTACTGATCATGGTTTTGCTGTTATACCCAGATAATCTTTGTCTAACCCCAAATCACAAAATGTTTCTATTTTTAAAAATTTTTATAGTTTAAGCTTGTCTATAATTCCCTTTGAATTGTGTGTAGTGTGAGGCAAGGGTTCAACTTTAATTTTTTTTTACGTGTATTTAATTGTTCCAGCATTTTATGCTGAAAATACTATCTGTTCTCCCTTTGAATTGAATAGACTGCATATCTTTGCAGAAAGTCAACTGCCTCAATATCTAAGAGTTTATTTCTAGATTATCTATTCTGACCCACTGATCTATACATCTGTTTTTATATGAACCACACTATTTTGATAACTGTAGCTGTATAGAAAGTTTTAAAATCATGTGGTGGTAAGTCCCAAAGCTTTGTTCTTCTTTTTCAAAAATTTTTGGCCTTGGAATTATAATAGGTCCTTGGAATTCCCCTCATTTCTAGTCACATTTTAGGATCAACTTGTCAACTTCTGGAAAAAAAAGCCTTCTGAGATTTTGATAGAGATTGTGTTAAATCTATAGATCAATTTGTGGAGAATTGCCATCTTAGCAAAATTGGTTCTTCCAATCCACGAACATGATTGTACCTCTTCAAGATATACCTTTCAGAAATGTTTTATAGTACAGTACGCAGGTCTTATCATTCTTCTGTTAAATTTATCTTATTTTTTGATACCACTATGAATGAAATTATTTTCTTAATTTCATTTTCAGGTTGTTTATTAATATTTAGAAATATAACTGACTTTTGTAATATTGACCTTGTATCCTGCAGTCATTGTGTAATCACCTTTCATCATTCACCTGGGAATTCCCTTCATCTTTCTGTCGTGTTTCATTCCTGTTTCCAATATCCCATGTCTTTTTTTCTTCCTTTCCTTTCTCATTTTATAAAAATACAACCTCCAGTAATTGTGTGTAAAGAGGTGCACTGAGGGTAAATTTTTAAAGACATTGCATGTTTAAAAATGTCTTTATTCCACCATTGTACTTGGTTGATAATCTGTCAGATAATAGAGTTCTTATTTGTTGCTAAGTCTAAAGATTTTTGCACCCAGGGGTTTTCAGTTTTACAGTTAGTCTGCTACAACAATAAAAAGACATATGGGATGAACTAGGGAGAGAATTAAAAAAAATGGCAAACCTTGAACTAAAAGTAAGAAAATTGGGCTGTAATCCTCTTATCTGGATTCTTCCCTAGCTCTCTGCTTAGGTTTGTAACTTTGGACAATTTACTTAATCTCAAGAAAGAATGGAACTAGGTTTGGATCATAATCCCAAAAGCCATAATCTAGAATGGTGAAATTCCAAAAGTTTGAAATCCCTGAAGTCACAGTCCTGAAAGTATAAAATCCCTAATGTCTAAAATCTTGAAAATAAAACTATCTTTTAAGATTGTAAATAAATATCTTTCAATTAATGTGTTTTATTTTTTCAGAATTATATTTTTGAGATTTTCATCTTTTGAGACTTCACCATTTGAGATTATAGCATTTGAACTGTGTCTTTCAGGATTATGATCAACTCCCAATGGAACTAATATTATCTTGCCAGGTTATTTTATGTAAAAACATAACTCCATCAACATGCTTTTCCCCTAGACCTTCTTGTCTCTGATTTTCCAGTGTTGCTCCTTCTAGTATAGTCATTCATCACTGCCCAAGAATCCAAACACATCTTTGCTTCAGACCACTTCTCTTTCCTTAAAAAGGATATTCTTCTTGAAGTTCAGTACACTGGCGGGAACTCCCCCTCTCACTGTTCCTTAGGGCCTCTCCTGAGTGGGCTATAGTGCAGTAGAAGTTTATTTTTCAGCTGATACCAACTTGTTAGGCCGATAAACCAGTCCTGAGATGTTTTCAGCCCGATGAGACTAGATATAAGCTGAGAAAGCAATGTTGGGTGCAAGGTAGAAAGGTGGAGTGGGAGTCTGGGCAACCTGGTCATATAGCTCACATAGTACCTTGTTTTTAATTCACATTTTCCTCTGATTACCAGTGGAGGCAATGCAGTTTTAGAGGAAAACAGTTTGGATTTCTATACAAGGAGATGTCCAAAAACGCTCATAAAATTTTGGGTCACTATCATATCACATCCATAATTACTTAAGAGACTGATTTATGTATACTTTAGGTACAGGGAACATATGACTCAGATCTTTTAAGGACCATATTCTACCAAACTAACTTTATCTAACCTAATATAATGCTGAAAGTAAAATAAGTGCCAAGTTTATTTTAACTTTAACTTTTAAGATTATGGTAGTAGAACAGTGATAAAAATTCTTTTCACTCGCCTCCAAAAACTAGAAAGAAATGTCTGCATGTTATGTTTAAGATGAAAAATAGAAGAACACCAGATTTTTAGAGCAAATTTACCAATTAAACACATTAACTTCTAGAAAATCTGTATGCTGCCAAACCCAGGAAGAATCAGAAAGACTGTTTACTAATCACTATGATTCTAAGAGTCTATTCATTAGAGATTTGTTTTAACACTCTTACTCTCTTCCTTCTTCAGCTGTTTTCCTGTGCTTTGAGGGATCAGGTCAGTAGTGGTGGAACTGGGAATGACAGACTTCATGTGACGAATCTGCTGTTGCCCCCAGTGAGCCACTCCTCTGCTGACCTCCAGGGTTAACTGGATCATACGGTTAATGGCTTGCTGAATGTCATCCAAACTAGGAACCATTACCTGTGGAAAGAAGAAGCAAGTCCTTAATACTGCCAGCACATACAATCCACTGCTCCAATTCTCACCACCCCCATTCCCAAGGTCTCAGCTGGCCCAGAGGAAGGCTGCTTTGAGGGGAAGCATGTTAGAGGAGGAAGGGCTGCAGACTTTCTCTACCCTGGAGTTTTCCCGTTCTAGCAATTCCTGCAGGCAAAAAGATCAAACTTGGTGCTCATCATCCTTTCCCAATGAGGGTGGCCAGATACAGCACAACATTGTGGACTTCATTTAGATATTCATGGAGCAAAACAACTGAAGAAGCCATACAAACAAGATTCTGATCCCGATTCTTTGAAATGTGCCAAGTAAGCTAAGAAGCTGTCCTTCAGGAGGTCAGGCATGTAAAGGGGGTGTTAAGCTAGTCATAGGCCATTCCTGCCCAGCCTTATCCTTTGGCGCAGCACAGCCATCCCATGTTGTTTGGAGTTCCAGATGCCGATAAGCAACTGGGGTAGCTGTAGAGATAAGTGCCATGGGGAGATACAGGGGATTCACGGTGCTCAGGGCACAGGCTCCTTCTGCCTTGCTATCCTGCCATCCCTAGTGGATAGGCTTGCAGTCATATATTTGGGGTAGGGAATCTAGACATCTTTGATTATTTTATTTGGATAATTTAATGTCAGAAGTAGGAAAACGCAAGGCAATTTACAAGGCACTTGCTAACTGAAGGTAGAACAGATGCTTAACTCAATTCTTGCACCGGTCCTTAAAAACACCATAAATTATGCAGAGTAACTTTTTAATAACAGAAATAAATGAAAACATTTTGATTTTTGTTAAATAGTGAGAGTAAGTGAAAAAATACATAAGACCAAGATATTATTCTAAATGAAAGCTTAGTTCTAAAAATACACTTCTTAAGTGCATTACCAAAATACCATCATATTTAATAATACTTACCACATTAGGAATTGCAAGATGTACTTCAGTTTTTATAAAGGAAATAACATCATCTGACAGCTTTCGTCCATATTGGCTGCAATAAGATGGACATTTAGCTAATAAACTTTAAACTAAAATTTCACAAATAGCTTATTATGCTACAAGTTTCAGTCCTAAAATTAAAGACCATTTAAAAAATACCAAATTGCACAAAGAGAATATTACTTATAATAGAACCATAAATGGCAGAGAACTAAGGAAATACAATTATTCAATATTCTTAAGTGGAGTAGTCATCTCATGTACATTTTTAAATTTTTAATCAATTAATTCATTTTTTTTTTAAGAGACAGAGTCTCACTCTATCACCCAGGCTTGAGTGCAGTGGTGCAATTATAGTTCACTGTAACCTCAAACTTCTGGGTTCAAGTAATCCTCCCACCTCAGCCTCCTGAGTAACTGGAACTACAGGCACGCACCACCATGCCCAGCTAATGTTTTTTTTTTTTTGTAGAGATGAGGTCTTGCTATGTTGCCCAGGTTGGTCTTGAACTCCTGAACTCAAGCAATCCTCCCAACTCGGCCTCCCAAAGTGCTAGAATTATAGGAGAGAGCCACCACGTTTTCCAATTTTAATAGTGCTCTCTATCAGAGAGTAACAATGTTTACTAAAAGCATTCTTTGTTCCTAGTCCTGTAACAGATGCAGGAAGGGATCACCAACGAAAAGCATATACCTCCATATACTTTTTTAAAAATAAACTTTTTACAAGATTAAACAGGAGGTTTCTGGCCAAAGTCTCCCAAAAGCTGTTTTTTAAAACAATATCACTCATGCACAGATAGAAACATAGACACAAAGACACAAATCCAGCAATGCAGGACACATACACAATTGCAAAGTAGTTTGGTTTCTGCCCTGATTTCCATCCCTATCCCAGACAAAATGATAATAAACACAAACTTTTTATTCTCTTTTTTCTGGAAATGCAAGAAATGCTGTCATCACTGAAAAACCATACCTGCATTTATAAGTACAAATAGTTGGGGGTAGAGCATCACAAGAAACATAAGGACACCACACTTCAAAAGGAGAAATCCTACTTTCAACACTCAGGGCCAATAGTTCCCTAATAAACATATTGTAAGGAACTCTTTGAACTAAAAGCAAGCAAACAAACACAAACCCTTAATTTGTCTCCCTGTAAAATCTGAGATGCAGCAATAAGTCTAGACTTTTAATACAAAGGGTGCAATTTGAGAACAATAAAGAATTTCATAAACAAACAGCTGTACTAACAGAGGCAATGAATGGCACACTAGATCATTCAGTACCTTATTCAGCAAACTGGAGGAACAGCTTAAGGTATTCTCCAAAATTTCAGATGCAAAATACAAGGAGATAGAAATTTTTTAAAGGGAAGTTAAGAATACATAACATTTACTGAATGATTAACGTATGCCAGGCACTTTTCCCAAGCACTTTCCATGAATTACCACAGTTCATCCTCACTTTAACTGTGTGAGACAGATTCTGTGATTATTATTTCTATATTGTAGATAAGAAAATCAAGATAGGGAGAGATTAAGTAACTTCCAAAGGGTCACTCAGCTCAGAAGTATTTTTGGTACGTGAATCCAGTATGTGAATTCTACATAGATATGGTAAATTAAAGCACAGCATTTCTTTAACCTTAAGAACGACTCGTTTTTTCATCATGAAAAGATTCTCTATGTGCCTGACAGGATTAATGGGGGACAAAAGGCCTACATTTAAATATATAATTTGTGAATTGCAAGAATAAAGGAGAAATTCTGTAAGCATCAAAATAAGTACAAATTGTTACTTAGAAAGGAAAATTGGATTAGCAGTAGAACTCTCATCTAAAATTGAAACAAAAAAAGCAAATCCAACAGTATTTGAATATGAGAGAAAGGGATTATGATCCAGGACCAAACTAGCATTCCTGTGAGGATAAGAGAAAGACATTTTAGACAAGCAAGAATTTTAAATATTATCCTCATGGGTGCCTCTTCAAAAACAACTTAAATATTTCAGAATTTCTAAATCAATGCAGCATAATGAGTTCATACTTCAAAAATGCTTATTTTTGCCAATACATCATAATCATGGATAGGATAAAAGGATGTGAGAATGCTCAAACACAAGATAAATGAAAGGACAAAAGATGAAGTTGATATACCCAATGAGCAGTTATTTTAACATTACTTAGCTTTGTCATGTTTTTCTAGCAGTTCACCTTAATTTACCCTGTTTCACTAGTAAAGACAGAACCAGTTTCTCAGAGGTAGCTACTGATAATTGTTTTACAATCCCCTCCCCAACCTTATGTAAACGAATCAGCCCTTCATGACCTTCATGACACAGACCCCATCAACATGGCAGCAATCATATGACTACCCCTACCCATCTGCCTGCAATTGATCACCTGACATACCTGTGCTTACCTGCCTTCCTGATGGTGATATGAAAGAACACCACCTAATCACCTCAATGATCTGCCCCATCAAAGGGAAGATTTAAAAGGCATTCAACCTCAAACAGCAGTCGCCACTGTTTTGTTAAGCGCTGGCCAGGCCATGTGCTTACTGAGCTATGGTCAGGCCATGATCCCTAGCTTTGGCCCCCTACACTACCTTGGGGAGGTGAATCTCCTCTCTTTCTCTCTAATTTACTTTCTAGCCATTGCTCTAACTATGGCCGGGCCATGTGGCTTTTTGAGCTATGGCCACATGTTTCCTAACTTTGGCCCCCTCCCCTACCTTTGGCCCCCTCCCCTACCTTGAGAAGGTGAATCTCTCTCTCTCTCTGATTTACTTTCTAAATAAACTATAATTTCCAATCTAACTTCTGTGCTTGAATGTTTTGTGCAGAACCTGATCAAACACCCCCACCCCTACCCCTCCACCCTCCCCATACCGCCCAAATCGGGTCTGACCTAACATTTTTGAAGCCCCTACTGGGATTTTAACCTAACAATAAGCAACTTCACGAATTACAAATGAACCAGAAACACAAGGACAGCCTGGTCAGGGTGCTGGTCTGGAAAGAGGCAGTAACTGTGGGGAGGTTGGCTCTTGTAGAATACAGGAGATGACTGGATACCATGGGTGTCAGAGCCTGAGCCAGGATCACTACTTGAAGCCAAAAACTAGGATGATGCTCCCCCACTTATGAAAAGAGGCAAGACAAGGTCTGTCAACCTTTTGCCTGCACCTATGGTTTTTCCAGAAGATGTGGGCCTGGGGTTAAAAAAAAAAGCAAATCCACAGCTTCCCTGATAAGCAACTAAGGCCACCTGTGTGCTCCCTGGATGAACCTGTCAGATAGATCCCCAGTATCTCTCCAGAGGGCAGTAACTTTGGACAAAAAGACCTGGTTCTGTAGAAGGTTTTAAGTGCCATTTGGAAGCAAATGCGAAACGCCTAGAAAGAGAGGGAGCAAAGGGAAAAGAAACACACAAAAAAAGTCTTACTCAAAGAGAGACACACATTAAAATCCCAATATGCATGAATAAGTTGAAGGGTAAAAAAGAGAGTTAAAGAAATAAAAAATTGGAACAGAAACTCACTCCAAATAAAAATTACTATATGGATGTATGACAAGCTCTAAAATAAGTAGATTGAGAATGTTCAAAGAGATATCTTCCAGAAATAAAATATAAAGAAATTCTAAGCTAAAAGGGTAGAAATGATACCATATCTGGAGGATAAGGGGGAAAGCATTTAATGAAATATTTAAGATGCAGTAGATCAAGAGTCCCCAGCTCTGGGGCTGCAGACCAGCACTGGTCCATGACCCGTTAGGAATCATGCTGCACAGTAGCAGGAGGTGAGCAGTGGTGAGTGGCACTCCATTTGTTGTCAGATCAGTGGTAGCATTAGATTCTCATAGGAGCATGAACTCTATTGTGAATTGTGCATGTGGGGAATCTAGGTTGCACACTCCTTATGAGAATCTAATGCCTGATGATTCCCATGCCCCATCTGAGGAAAAATTGTCTTCCACGAAACCAGTTCCTAATGCCGAAAGGGTTGAGGATTGCTGCAGTAGATGACATTATCCTTAGGATAGATACAGAGATACTTTTCCATAATGTAGTTCAGATAGGCAAAAAGATAAAATATATGACAAAATGGTTAGGAAGCAGGGAGAACAGACTGAGAGGCCCCAATGTATGAGATGACTGCATGTCCAGTGCACCCAAGGCAGTTCTAGATTAACTCTGTCCTGGCACCTCATCGGAGTAGTGCTCACATTCACAAAAGTGTCCAAGTCGGAACAATAAATTATGTGGTCACTCCATTCAACATTCAACTTATGGGAGTTCCAGAAGAAGACAATGAAGGAACATCCTAGAAGCAATAGCTGAAGAGGAAATTGCTGAGGCTTTTCCAGCATTAAGGAAAGCTATAAGTCCTCAAATAGAAACTACACGCGGAGAAGCAGGATTAAATAAAGACAAACCCATGCAGGGTAAGAAAACTATAGAAACATTAAATATTTAAAAAGATTCTTCAGTTAGACTTATGACAGACTTATCAGCAACATAAGTCAGGAAAAAAATGAAGAAGCACTTTCAAAGTGCTAAAAGATAAACTAAAATTTTATATCCAGACAAACTGTCATGAAAGTATGAAGGCAAAACATTTTCAGACTTACAAAGAAGAATAAAAGGTTTACCTCCTACAAATCCTCACTAAGGAACCAATGAGATTAAAAAAAAAAAATGAGAACCTGGAGATTTTATAAAATATGTCGGTAAATAAGTTTCATAATAAATTATTTTGGAGTATTCAAAAAAAAGTAAAACTAAAACATAAAACAGCAATAAGATAGATACAGTTCAGTGAGTAAAGGCTGCCTAGGACCTTGTTGTCAAAAATAAAGCTGAAAAATTGCAAAACTATAGACAGTACTTTTTTTATAACTAGAGCAAAATATGTGCATTCTAATTTAAGGGTAATTGCATAAAGAACTGCAGTACAGAAAAGAGAATAAAAGGTGCAAATTATCCACCCCAAAGACAACAGAGATAATAAAATGAATCAAAGAAAAACAATAGATCATAAGAAGAAATACAAAATAAAATGTCATAAATTAAGGACAACTATATCAAAAATCATAATAAATGAAAACAGATTAAACTCACAACTAAAAAGAAAGAATTAATATGATTGAATGAAAATAATCAAGTATACAATACATTTAAGAGGTAAAACTAAAAACTACAGAAAAAGGCTTAAATGAAGAGATTGAAAAAGTTATACAAGACAAAAGCAAAATTAATGGCAAACTAAAAAAGAATTTAGGGAATCAGGATTAATATAAATAAGGAACCAAATAAAAATCAAGAGAATAATGTTCTTAAATAGACTTAACTACTATGACCTGTATGCACTTAACAACATAGCCTTAAAATACATAAAACAGCCGGGCTCGGTGGCTCAGCCTGTAATCCCGCGCCTTTGGAAGGCTGAGGTGAGTGGATTGCCTGTGCCTGCAGGCTCGAGACCCGCCTGGGCAGCAAGATCTCATCTCTACAATAAATCAAAAAAGTCAGCCGGGCGTGGTAGCGCATGCCTGTAATTCCAGCTACTTGGAAGGCTGAGGCGGAAGGATCGTCGGGGCCCAGCAGGTCGAGGCTGCAGTGGCCGGAAGTGGCCACTGCACTCCAGTCTGGGCAACAGAGTGAGACTCCAACTCAAAAAAAAAAAAAAAAACATAAAACAAGAAGAACTGGCTAAAACAGGAGGGTAATTTGACCAGACCACAATCACACTAGCAGATTTTAACAGTGTAATTCAACTAAAAGTCACCACTGTATAGCCAAGAAATAAATCTAACAAAAATGTGCAAGACTTTGACACAGAGAATTCTAAACCTTCACTGAGAGATATTTAAAAGATATATATAAATGCAGAGATAATACATAATTCTGAATGGAATACTCAGCCTTTGTAATGATGCTAATTCTCAATGCAACTTAAATAATGTCCCCCTCCAAAAAAGCTAATTTTTCAACCACTTTCGTTTGATCAACTAATTAAGCATATGGAAAAACAATATGTTGGTCTTCTACTTCACACTAAGCACAAAAATCAATACCATATAAATTAAATCCCTAAATGTAAAAGTCAATACTATAAAACTTTTAAAAGACATTATAAAATAGGAAAGGTTTGATTTTTTTTTTTGAGTTGCAGTCTCATTCTTGTCACCCAGGATGGAGTGCAGTGGCATGCTCACGGCTACTGCAGCCTTGACCTGCTGGACTTAGGCGATCCTTCCACCTCAGCCTTCCAAGTAGCTAGAACTACAGACACACGCCACCACACCCAGCTAGTTTTTGTGATTTATTGTAGAGACGAGGTCTCACCAAGTTGCCCAGGCTGGTCTCAAACCCCCAGGCTCAGGCAATCCTCTCGCCTTGGCCTCCCAAAGTGCTAGGATTACAGGCTTAGCCACCGTGCCCAGCCTGATTTTTTTTAAAAAGACATAAAAATCACTGGAAACAAAAAATACTAAGAAAAAGATTGATAAATGTAAATTTTTTTTAAACTCAGCAAAGAAAAAATGAAAATTAATTTTTAAAAATTAAAAGATAATGCAAAACCGAGAAAAGACATTTGCTATATTATCAATAAAGAAATACATTACAAATATTTATGAACTAATCCAATTCAATAGAAAAACAGGCAAAATAAAATTCAAAATTTTTTTTGTTTTTTTTGAGTTGGAGTCTCACTCTGTCGCCCAGACTGGAGTGCAGTGGCTGCTCCCGGCCACTGCAGCCTCGACCTGCTGGGGCTCCGGCGATCCTTCCACCTCAGCCTTCCAAGTAGCCGGAACTACAGGCATGCGTCACCACACCTAGATAATTTTCTGATTTATTGTAGAGATGAGGTCTCGCCAAGTTGCCCAGGCGGGTCTCGAACCCACGGGCTCAGGCAATCCACTCACCTCAGCCTCCCAAGATGCGGGATTACAGGCTGAGCCACCGAGCCTTTTTAGGAAGAGAAAGAACAAAGGGCCCATAAATACTTGAAATGTGTTTTCATCAGTAACCAGAAAAATGAGAACCTGACTCCTAATGAGACGCCATTTCACATCTCCTATGTTGGCAAGAATTTTTTGATTGAATAAAACCATTTGCAAGGATGAGAGGCCACGGGCACTCTCATGCTAGGTATTGGCTAGTAACATGAGACTTGCATGTACCCTAGGCCCCAGTAAATCTACTCTTTGCAGGTACAGCAGGAGACAGGTGCAAGAAGGCTCACAGAAGCTTTATTCATTACAGTCCAAACTGGAAACAACTCAAATGACCATCACTAGTAAAATGGATAAACAGATTATGTATACCCCAACTGTATAGAGATGAAAATATACCACACAGCTGAATCTCAAAACATAATACTGAGCATGGTTCAAATCAAGCCAAATTAAATGATACATTAATTAGGGATACAAACACGTAGTAAACTATAAGGAAACACCAAGTTCAGTATAGTGGTTACCTTTGGATGAGCAGGGAGAGGACCAGTGAGGGTAGTTCTCTTTATCTCAGGCAGAGTGCTAGGAACATGATCACGGTTCTTGCAGTATTAAATAAATATTTTCATAAAATATTTTAAAGAATGCTATATTTTAAATTGTGTAATTTTTAAAACTAATAAATTAATAAAACAAGAGGCCTATTAGTATTATATTATAACATGTAGTCTTACTAGACATATTTAGCATATTACCAACTTGCCTTGCAACAAACATTCTTCTTTTCATCGTGTCCAAAGATAATCGTGTAGCTTTTTGAAGACTGTCTAATAATTGGTGAGAGAAAAAAGCGAAGACCTCTTTACATTCCTGTAATAAGAAATCATATTAAATTTGGTATTTCTCCCCCTCAAAAAACCTTTTAACATTCCCAAAGTAATGATAGAAAATTAGAAGTGGCATGCGAAGGTGAAAAATAATAAACTATACAATCTCCATGACACCATAGAAACAAATTCAATCATAAATTACTTGTCTAGTTATTTTAGACAAAAATAATTTATGAAAAATGTGTTTGCACAAACATCCTAGCAAACCAGAATAACTTATTCAAAAGTCAAAACTCAAAAACAGCTTATGAAAAATAATCCTGATTTGCTGAATACTCAATAATTTGCCCAACAAAACTGAAGCACTTTAAGTGTGGTGCATCTCTCAATGCTTAAAGGTGTAGGCACAAGAGGATAACTAGTATACATCCTCCAAAAACTTAAGCTTGGTGGATAAACATCATTTTAAAACGTATAATAGTCAAAAATATGGGATGAAATTTCCAACCTCTAAAACCATGGTTTGACATTCTCTCCACACCCTTCCTTCTGTTGGGAGAAATAGCCAAACTTACTGGTCAGAGTGTAGGACAGGTATTGAACCTAGCAACAGGGATCCAAGCCCCTGTCTTGCTTGCACAGGGAGTCACACATCTGGGGCCAGGCTCTGGCCATACTGCTTCCTCGCTACTCTAGAACCCTGTCCTTCTGAGACTGGGTGAGTGAGGCATGTTGAGTTGGGAGAGGAGAGCTATCAGGCATGAACAAAGAGGAATGTCAAACTTTTCAGTGTAATGATGGGGTACAATCAAGCTAAAGCACAGGCGTGACATAGTCAGATTTTTATGTTAGATGGACCATTCTAGCAGCAATGTGGGAAATGGATTTGAGAGGCAGAGATTGTTTAGGGGGTGATTGCACTAATGCACCTCCAAGTCATCTCCCACTTGAAGAGGCTCTAACAGTACTCACCTGTGCTCTAAGAACCCTAGCCAGTGTCAAAAGGGAATGTAACTGGAAGACAAGAACTGCTGAGATGGCAGGACACTTCCTCTCTTCAGCTGACGCCCACTAGCTGCCAACAAATACCAGGTACATGGTATTGAGAAGATGTCTAAGGCTAAAATCTAGACTGCAGAAAAGTGTTTGCCAGTCAATCAGTAATATCATCCCTGAGCAAGAAGGTTAAAGTGAAACAAATCTGTGTTATTTTCAAAACTGTATTAGGATGTGTAAAGGTGGGTGAATAGAGAAAGAATGAAAAGAAGGTGGGTATGAAGGATTAAAAGAAAACCTATAGGAGGAAGAGAAAGGAGGAATCGTTGCAAATGTGGGCAGTCAGAGATCATGCATGACCAGAAAGGTGAGGCCTAAGAAGAAGAAAGAAACCACATCCCTCCTTCTCCACCTTCATTCTCAACACAGTTCAACACAATTGAAAATCTGGCCATTCAAGTCATCCACAGTGCTAGTTTAAAATGCAGATTCCTGGGCCCCAAAGTGACTCAGACTCTGGACTTGAAATACAGATAACTATTAAACACAATAACTGACAACAAAGTTCTCCATTCTGGGTCAAACTGACTGGTGTTATATCCCAAAAGTCACAATTACTATAAGAGAAAGCATGGTCAGTCACAATAGGGGTAGATAACTACATAAACTGCAATTGACAGAATTACAGTAAAAGTGGATGCTACTGGGGAAAAGTGTAAGGATTGCCTGATGCTACAGTGTAAAACTGAAAATTATATTTCTAGATTTTGTTATAAATTAGATAAAGAATGCTTACAGAACTGCAGGGAAGAAGCACCATTTAGGGTTATCTCTAATTTTATGAGTGATAATTCTGTGAATTGCATGAAATTGTTCCACAATAATACCTTTTTAAATTCATCTTCTTTATCATTAGCATCAACCTCATTCACAATATTAGTGTCATAGTCAGTGTTTTCACCCTCTTCTGTTTCATTTCCAAAAACAACACGTTTCCGCTGTTCTATAAACAAAAGACAAAATAAAAATATAATATTTGATTTTTGAACATTAGGTAAGTATTCTGTATGGCCAAATCTTCTTAGGAAGTTGCTTTCTAAAAAGCTCTTACTTTAAAAATGTTTCTATAAAAATGTTTTTTGCATTTGTTCCTGTAGGAGTCATCCTTGAATTCACTTTAAATCACTTATCTCGATTCTGGAGGGAAGCGGCAAGATGGCGACGGGGCAACCCGGTCTCTGAAGCCCTCTGCAAAGGAGATCTGCAGTGGGTCTCTGACTCTCGCCCCGGGGGGCTACGGACCCCAACATCGCAGCCTCCTCTTCATACGGAGCTCGGCTGTTGCCACCGCTGGGACATCGCAACGGACTGGACAGATCGCCACAGCCCCTCCCCCCACCGCCACTGCCGCCACAGATGCCACTGCCGCGGCCTCCGTGATGGCCGTAGCACATCACACCACGCGGGCCCAAGGCGATCCACATCAAACCCCTTCAGGGAAGATCTGCTGGGATTGCTGCCACCTCTCCTGCGACCTAGACTGTCCTGCCTGCCTGCCTTAAGGCTCCTGTTACCTGCCGTGAGGCAGGCAGCCATCTTGTTCCTGTCCGGCCCCACCCACTCTGGGGCAAGCAGCTGAGATAGCACCACCTGCTGGCGATTCAAGGTAACAACACCGAAACGGGAGAAATAAGCTTGATAAAGACATAGACCAGAGTGCTGAACGGAGGGTAATCTGAACTGCCCTTCACAGCAGATCAGGGGCAACTGACCCTAACTGCAAACTAATTTACCAGCTTGAAAAGAAAACTAGAAATCAGATATGAAATGACATTGGACTTAAACAAAAGGTCTCAGAGTGTGCTTCATTGATTCTATTAGTTTAATGACAATTCTATTCCTACTGTATTGTCCCCTTTTTTCTTTTTTCCTTTTCCTTTTCTTCTCTTTTCTTCTCTCTGTAAACCATATCTTTGTATAGAGGAACAACACACTAACAAGGTGGTTGGTTAGCTTGTATGTTAGCATCACTATATGTTTTATTTTTATTTTTTATTTTTTGTATGAGAGTTGGTTCATCTGTAGCTGTGGTCTATTGTTTTTATCTGTTTCAGTATAGGCCTCTCTCTCTATTTGTTGGCACACTTGTTTGTTTCCCCCCTTACTCCTCTATCTCTCCACTCCCCTCTTTAACCCACTATCTGCTCCATTCTCTCCCCTCTGCTAACCACATTTTATTTCAGGGAGTAAACCTACAGCCCCACTGCATGGACAGATTCCAGGGCAGTGGGAAGTGGGTTCCACATTATCCACACACCTGTCAGCGAATACCAGGACCTGCAGTCAGATTTTGAATCACAGCTCTCCCCTTAAGTAAATCTCAAAACTGCAAAAAGGACCACCTCCAACCTACAGTGCAACTCCAGAATTGAACAAAGAAAGAGGACATACATAAAGAATAGGAGATTGAACGACAATAAGTAAAACCAATCCCTTTACCCCTGAATAACAGAATTAAAGAAGACGGTGACGTGGGGGGAAGGATAAAGTAGGGAGGGAGAAAAACCGCACAATGAAGAAAAACCAAAAGAAGAATATAGGTCTCACACAGACCCCTGGGAAATCAGACACTGAGAAAACAGATTCTAGAACACAAACAATGAAGAGCCCCCAGAATGACTGGTTACATGCAACAAACCCAGACATCAAGACATTAATGGAGAGAATTTAAAAAATTGAGGAGAGACAAGAGGAAAATAGGAAGGAGCTGATGTCAGAAATGACAGCAGTAAAGAATACTGTGATGGAAATGAACAACAGACTAATAAGCATGGAAAGCAGAATCAGCCAAGCGGAAGAAAGAATCTCAGAGCTCGAAGACCAAAACGCAGAACTAACCCAAACTGTCAAAAGCATAGAAAAGAAGCTCAAAAAGACAGAACAAAACCTGCAAGAGATGAATGATCACTTCAAGAGACCAAACCTAAGAGTAATTGGGCTTCCTGAAGCAGAGAGAGAAACAGAAGCCACACTGGAACAAACATTTCATGAAATCATTCAAGAAAACTTCCCTCATCTCATCAAGGATGAAAAAATTCAAACACAAGAGATTCAGAGAACCCGTGCAAGACAACAAATGAGAAGACCAACTCCCAGACACATAATAATTCGCCTAAACAAAGTAGCTATAAAAGGAAAAATCCTAAAGGCAGCAAGAGGAAACGGCCAGACTACCTACCAGGGAAAACCAATTAGAATAGCAGCAGCTTTATCCACAGAAACCCTTCAGGCCAGGAGAGCCTGGAGTCCTATCTTCAAAGTTCTAAAAGAGAAACAATTTCAACCAAGAATTACCTACCCTGCCAAACTAAGCTTCATTAGTGAGGGAGAATTGAAATCTTTTCCAGATATCCAATCCCTAAGAACCTACGCTGCCACCAGACCACCTCTACAAGTAACACTTAAGAAAGTACTGAACACAGAAGAAAAGGAAAAAAAGAACAGCATTCTTCACAAGAGTACAGGCAAAAGATTAAAAACACACATGAACCAACTCCAAAACTGAAAGAAAGACAACAAACAGACAGGAACAACTCTGTAAGAACCTTATGACAGGGATCAACTCTTGCATTTTAATTATTAGCCTAAATGTGAAGGGACTAAATGCACCACTGAAAAGACATAGAATGGCAAAATGGATAAAATATCATCAGGCAACAATCTATTGCCTTCAAGAGACTCACCTCACTAGAAAGGACACCCACAGACTCAAAGTAAGAGGATGGGAAACAAACTTTCAGGCGAATGGAATACAAAAGAAAGGAGGAGTAGCGATCTG